GCCCGATGCGCGCAGTCCCTCGCCGCCGGGGCGCATCCCGTCGTCGTTGCGCCACAGACGGCTGAGCTGCACTACGGCCTGCAGCGCAGGATCGACGACGGCAGCGTCAAGTGGGTGCGCGAGGCCTTTGCGGACGAGCATCTGTTCCGGCTGGGCAGACCAGAGGTCGGAGGCGTTGTCGATGCCGTGTTTGTGACAACTTCGGCGTCGCGAGAACAGCTGGGTGAGTTGACCACCACACCTTGTCAATATCGTGATAACTACATGTATCTGGAGGAACCCTACTAAAACATTCCCCCAGGCCCTCACATCTCCTCCCTCTGCAAGCGCAACCGCATCCCCGTCAACGTCGTCGACGCCCCCCATCTCTGCACCTTCTCCCTCCTCTCCGTCCACGCCGACGGGCCCCTCCAGATCGGCGTCACCACAAACGGCCGCGGCTGTAAGCTGGCCTCGCGCATCCGCCGCGAGATCGCCTCGTCCCTGCCGCCGAACCTGGGCGCGGCCTGCCAGCGCTTTGGCGAAGCGAGGCGGCGCATCCAGCAGCACGACACCAACGACGACGACGACAACAAGGCCGGCTCGTCGGGAGAAACGGCAACGCTGGGCGACCTCGACGACTCCGTCGACCAGAGCGCGCTCTTCAACAAGCTCGTCACGGAGGAGGAGGAACAACACGTCCGCAACAGGCGCATGCGCTGGCTCAGCCAGGTCTGCGAGTACTGGCCCCTCAAGAAGCTCGCCTCCGTGGCCGACCACGACGTCGACCGCCTGCTGGAAGCCTACGCCGCAGACAAGTCCCGAGGCGACGGCCACGGCAACATCAGTCCCAACCCCAGCAGCAGTAACAGCCGTCCCAAGGGCAGAATCATCCTCGCCGGCAGCGGCCCGGGCCACCCGGACCTCCTGACGCGCGCAACCTACAACGCCATCCAGACGGCCGACGTCATCCTCGCGGACAAGCTCGTGCCCTCTGGCGTCCTGGACCTCATCCCGCGCCGCACGCCCGTCGAAATCGCCCGCAAGTTCCCCGGCAACGCCGAGCAGGCCCAGGACGAGCTTCTGGCCGCCGCCCTCGCCGCCGCCGAAGCCGGCAAGACGGTGCTCCGCCTCAAGCAGGGCGACCCCTTCATCTACGGCCGCGGCGGCGAGGAGCTCGCGCACTTCCGCGCCCACGGCTTCGACGCCCCCGGCGCCGTCGTCGTCCTCCCCGGCGTCACCAGCGCGCTCAGCGCCCCCCTTTTCGCCGCCATCCCGGCCACGCAGCGCGACGTGGCCGACCAGGTGCTCATCTGCACCGGCACGGGCAAGAAGGGCAAGCCGCCCGCGCCGCCCGAGTACGTGCCCTCGCGGACAGTCGTCTTCCTCATGGCGCTGCATCGCATCGTCGGCCTCGTCCGCGAACTCACCACCCCCATCG